AGAAGAAGTGTCAATGTTATTGCCAATTAAGCAGACGAATAACAAATCAAATTGAACTTCCTCATATGATAACAACCAGTTTGAGGTGAGCTTTCTATTACATTAAGGGTGTTCTATTGTTCAACATCACAAACTAATCTAAAGTTGTTATTCAAAGACTTTGAATCATCATCATCATGATCATATATTAAAAAGGGACATGGTGGCTATTATAGTCTTGGCTTTGAGATGTTGAGCAATTTTCCCCATGGTTGTAATGTAGTGTCATTTAGTGCTTGCCACTTAAGCTTCACCAATACAAAATTGTTAAAGAAGCAAAACATATCTAAATTATTATTAATTTATCACCATTAAATATCACCAATAAATATTCAAGGTGTTTAAATTTAAAAAGTAAATAGTATTAAGTTATCACCAATAATATTCATGGTGAAGAATGTGTTGGTTGCAGGTGGTTGAGTTAACAAATGATTGGTTTGTCGTGAAAGTACTGGCAATATTTTTATTTATTATTTTTTTCTTTTTCCGAGAGGTGATTTTACTATTCATGTGAAGTTGTGGGTTCATGTGACTGGATTGTTTTGGAGGGGCACATTTTTCTTCTATTTTCACCCTGGAAAATCCAGAAAACTTTCACTTGTGGACCAACGAAATCACTTTATTTGGCGATGCATTCTAACTCTACAATGTTCATGTTCTGTGGAATTATTTTTTTAAGCTTACAACCAAATATGCGAGTGGGGCCAATAGGTATTTGAAAATATCAGGTGCCCCAATTGATTCTTTACAAGTTGCAATCATTTGAAATGGGAGCCTAAAAGCCTTAAATAAATGCAACATGCTTTGAACTTTATATTTATTAGTAATTAGTTTCATCCTGTATTTTCTCCATTAAGTGTACATAAAAGGTTCATTAAAATTTGATGTTGATTGTGCTTCTAAATCTATGATGTAGTTGATAATGTCAAAGCGTAAGTTACTAAGTGTTTATGAAATTATAATTTGTTTGTTTGGTAATACAGTGGATGTGTCACATCAGCAGAGACAGTTATGCTGGAGAAGCAAGGTTTGGATGAGTTTCTATCCAATATTAATGAAGGAAAGGCAGTGATAGTGTCTGTTTCTCCTCAGTCGAGGGCTTCTATTGCAGCTCATTTTGGCATTTCTCCTGTTCAGGTGACACTTTGCTCTTGCTCACAAATTCTCTGTTTTTCTTATAAGGTTCTTTGAATTAATTTGAGAAACAAAATTCCAAATTCTTGAACTGTCCGGGTTAAGTGTATAACTTCTGATATTTCAGGCTTTCAAAAAACTGACCAGATTTTTCAAACCTTTGGGGGTGAGGGCTATTTTTGATACAAGTTGCAGTAGAGACTTGACCTTGGTCGAATCTTGTGTGGAATTCATCACAAGATATAGACAAAATCAATTGCTAGATGACGAGAGGAGCAAGTCAAGCCTATCCATGATTGCATCTGCATGCCCAGGTATAGAAATTCAACTTAGTTTTGGCCAATTGTTTCTGTGAAGCACATATATTTGGTATATATGTGAGTGAGTGAATATAAACAAGTCTAGACAAGGTAACTAAAGAAACCAGCAAGAAAGTGAGTTAGAACAAATTATGTATCAGGTATTGTAAACTAGCATGACCTTCATGTTAACTTAATAAGCTTAGTTGTAAATTGTAAATGTTTCTGCAACAGCATCACAATTGTAGATACATTGTCTATATTCGCTCACATTTTTCCACAGTATCAAGATTCGCAGCATAACAATAAACTAGTATGTTTATATATAGTCTTAGTAGTGTTAATAATGTTGTTGGCTACTAATATGATGGAAGAATTGTAAGTATGAGAGCAGTCATGGTAGTATTACTCATATTGATGAAAAATCAGTGATGACAATTAATTAACTCTATTGACATAGTCTTAGAATGTTTAAAGAATGAAATGAAACATGTTTGTTTTGTTTAGTATTATGTGTTATGTGTTACTATGTGTTTATTATGTATATGTATGTGAGTATTGTCATTTTTCATGGTCAAAGTAAAAATGTTTAAATTTGACTATTCTTCATATTTACAGGTTAGAAATGAAGATGATCCTCAAGATGAACAAGATGGCGTTCTCCAAGATGACGATGATCTTCAAGATGATGATGATCTTCATTATGATCTTGATGACGATCTTCAATATTATCAAGTTGACGGTTCTCAAGATGATGATTCTCATGATTCTCAGTACAATGAATATGATGAAGACCTTCACTGATTCAAATATAGAAAATTATTTTTTGTTTTATGGAGTTACACAAACCACCTAGTTAGTTTATTATATTTCAAAGAGTTTGGATTTATTTTTAAAATATTTATTCTTACATTTCAAAGTGTTTATTACACTTCATCTTATTATACTTCATATTTATATGTTTTGATTAATTTATACATGTGTTTCTTCTCATTTAATTAATAATATTGACTTATACTATATTAGAATAAAATGAAGGTTTATGGCTGAAATGTATCACCATATAAATGAATAGGAAATTTTTTAATAATTATATCTTTAAGTTTAAAGTTAATATTTACCAAATATTTTTCAATTTATAGGCAACGCTTTTTAAGGATTGCTTATTAAAAACCGTGGACTTTTCCTAAGTTTTAGGCGCGGTTCTTTAAATGAAATTATAAACTAGCTACGATTTTCATTTGTTACTTTTTTATAACCGTTGTATATTCATGTTTTAGGGACGGTTATTTTGTGTTGTTACTAGAAAACCGCGGCCTAAAACTACAACTAAAACCGTGGAATTTGATGATTTAGGCGGCGGTGTTTTGAATCCGTCGTTAAAAATAAAAAAACCGCCCTCTAAAGGAATAGGCAACAACCGTTTATTCCACGTCTGATAAACCGCCCCCTAAAGCCTTAGGCTACGGTTATTGCACTTTAGGTTGCGGTTTTGAGTTATTGGCAAAAATCATTTTTGTTGTAGTGCAACCGAGAGGAAATATGACTTAAGGACCAAACATTGGAACTCACCTATAGCATTTTTACTTTTAATTTTTATAGTTTGACACCTTTCTTATTTTGCATGTATTTCTCATAAATAGACTATAACTATTCATTTACTTTTTGACACTCATTTCATCTTCATTCTCATGCAAAACCGAGTAGCCTTTTAAAAAAATATACCCTAAGTGATTTTCATATTTATATTTTCCATCTAAGTACCCTATCATCTAAACCCATATTCTATAATATTTTTTGAAACTTCATCTCTTTCAACACACTTGTTCGAACATCAACTATTTCACTCCATTTGAATGCCATAATGCCATTGAAGTACTGATGTAGCTTGAAATAAAGGAAAGTCAACCAAACACCAATGAAATTTCCTCCCACGTTGTCGTATCTTCTTCTAATCATATATTCGGTGCGTAACGCACTTTAACCATGCATATAAATTTTAAATTTTAGTTTTTGTAGTGTGGATTGCTCATTACTTATAAGTTATATTGAGGGAGTTTTTTTTTTCTATTATAGACTTTCTTGTTAAGATTCTGTTGATAAAATAATAAATAAGTTTTTCCATTTTAGTGTTGATGTTCAGAAAAATCATATATACTATATGTACCATGATATAAATAAATAGGTTTTTTTTTAGTGTTGATATTGACAAAAGTCCATGTATACCATGAGTTAACAAAAATAGATTTTTTCTCTTTTGTATTGATTTTTGTTGATGTGTGTTAAGTAAAAATGTTTAACATGTTATTTTTATGAAGTGTTATTAGGATTCTATTAAGTAAATATACTATATGCACCATGAATCTAACATTAGGTATCTTTGTTGAGGCTATTTTTAGAAAGCGCTCTTAGATTTCTATGTTAATTAAAATGATTATGAGGTAATGCTTATAAATTAAGAAGTGTTGATGTTGAGTTAAGTAAAATATTTAGTGACGTTGTTGTTATTTAAATAGAGATGGGGGATTCAACCACCACCTATCATACTAACCAGCGCATCTGGGGTACTAGTAAAGAATTATAAATAAAGAAAATATATTATATTCAATTCATTGGATACATGTAATATTTTTTTTAAAAATTGATTATTTATGTTTTCAGTGTATTAAATATACATATATTTTTTAAAAAGAAATATTTTTTTAATCTCTTACATAATTGTCAACTTATCATTTTAATCTCTTAATTAGTGCTTCAAGGGCACTAGTTGGTATATATATATATATATATATATATATATATATATATATATATATATATATATATATATATATATATATATATATATATATATATATATATATATATATATATATATATATATATATATATATATATATATATATATATATATATATATATATATATATATATATATATATATATATATATATATATATATATATATATATATATATATATATATATATATATATATATATATATATATATATATATATATATATATATATATATATATATTAGTGTAAAAAGTTTTACACTACCCGTTCATCACTATTATCCGTCGGTATTACTTTATTAATAATTATGATAAAAGTCAAATTTTAATATTTATATGATTTGCGACTCGGTTGAACAAAATATTTCTTTGAGTTGTATAAAAATTAAGCTTTATCTGATGAGTTATATAGAATTATTTTTTCAATATTTTAAAATTTCAAAACTCAATTTATTTTATAATTAATTAACATTAAGTGTTTTTTTAACATTATATTTCAAATACTTCTTTTTTAACATTCCCGCCACAACAACCACAATATGGATCGCAATTACTGCAAGTGCAATACCCACAACCTCAACCACATCCATAATTTAAACATACAATCACTATAATATAGACATACTCAACACACAATCACAATTTCAACACTCACACAAAATCAAGATTTGTGTGGTTTATTCAATTTACACACATAATTTCAATGCACACATACACTACGAGGCCAACTATCCTGAAGAGTTTTTCATTTGATATTTAACGAGGCCAGGAATGTGTGCATTCATCATATATTCAATCCAGTCAAAGCTAGTAGGGTCAAAGTTTAATTCTACATTATTCATCTTAGGATCATCCTTTGATACCGTCCTCAAAATTTCAGTGTTGGTATCATCAAAGCTGAAATGAAAAATAATTATAATGTTTTATGATTATGAAAAAAATTAAATCAGGAAAATAAAATTTTCTAATAACCAAAGGCTATATAAAATTACTTACACATATTTAAAATAGACATATGGTTTGTATAGTATTGCCAATCGATGCATCATTCTAATTTTTCTACTTTTCTTATTATAAACATCTTGGAAGCTATTGTGACATATTTTGTTCACCAGACTTAAGACCTTGAAAATGTGTCAAACAGGTAAAAAAGATCAATTATTGGTATAATAATTTTAACATAAAGACAATCAATGAAATTAGTTTAACATACCTTCAGTGGTAAGACATGTGTGAATTTAATATAAATGTTGAAAGCAGCAAAACTATTCACCAGAGTTGCATTTGAAATGACTATTGGCTTTCCATTTTGATTTATGCAAGGGCTTTTCATGAAATAATGATAGCAAATATTGCGAATATCACAATATTTGAGAGGATTTCTTAACGATGAAGAAACATGGTAGATGAAATTTTTAGGAGACTGATTCGAATGAGTAAGAATAGTTGTAATCACACAATTGATTACCATGTCTGCAGGAATCTACATATCAACATTCAAATTAACTTAAAAAACACATAAATAATACAAGTTAAATAAATGATAAGATTGTCTCAGTAAAAAAGTTCAAGTAATGAAAGAGGTTTTATAGAAGATTTTGAAGGGTTTAGATGACTATTCAAGTTCAATTTCCGTTGTTATATAATACAGTTGTATATGTCTTAAAATCTCTTTATTTGTAAAAATAATATTTTTTTTAGATTTTGTTACATGCGAGTAGGGGTGAATAACGATCGGTACTTGTCGGATTTGGATGAAAAAACTTAATCAGTCTATTTAGTGCCATCGGTTTGTTCGGTTTCGATTTTGACGGTTTTTAGACACAAGAAAATAAGAAGTTTACATTTTTTAGACACAAGAAAATAAAGTTCTCAATTTTTATTTTACAACTTTAACCCAATAATTTTCAAAAAATTTCAAAGCTTCTCTGTAAAATATGTTTGTTGATTTCTAAAACTTCTTTGCAGTTGGTTCAATAACAGAAATTGAGAGAAAAGGGAGTGTTGAAGAACAAAGAAAAAAATGAGTGAGGAAGAAATAGAGAGGAAAAAAGGATTTTTTTTTCAATAACAAAGAAAAAGAATTGAGTAGTTGCTTGAAACAAACCTATAACTAAATTTTTTTTAAATGATTCATGTAACAATGGACAAGAAGCTAGTATGAGTTTAATTATTACGCCTACAAATTTTTACATAATGAATTGATTTTGATTTGAAAAAATATTATAACAGCTTTGTTGGCAATCAAAGCATTAAATAGAATTGTGCTAGTTTTTAGTTTGAGTTTGACAGATAGTTAATGTGTTTTTTAGTTGAAATATTAAAAATCGAAACAAAGGTATAACCTAATAAGTATAGTAAAATATATCGGTTTATAATAATTTTTGTTGGGCTATAATTTTCAATCCGCAATCGATTATGTAAATCCATATAAAACTATAAATCCATCAATTAGATCTGGGACTCACCCAAGCCCACCCACAAGCTAGAGTGTGGAACTCGAGCCTTAGTGGTCGGTATCAAGCGAATAGAGTAAATTCGATTTGGTTTATTATTTGCTGAAGTATTTGGAGGTCTAGAAATGAATGTATTTTCAATAATGGAGTTGTTGGAACTTTAATTGATTAGAGTGGAAATTGTAAACATTTGTTGACAATTAATGAGCAATAAATGAACACAAGTAAGAACTAATATAGAAGTGAATTTGAAAAGATTCATTTTTAGTCCCACATTGAAGGGAATGAAAATTAAGATTCATTTTAGTCCCACATTGAAGGGAATGAAAATTAAGATTCAATTTAGTCCCACATTGAAGGGAATGGAAATTAAGCCTTACTAGCTGCCTATAAATACAGGGTAGAAATTCAGTAGTGAGCACATCAGATTTCACAAATTCACACGAATTTTGATTTCCTTTTTCTCTCCCTTTATTCTCTTCATCTTACAATTTTTTCTTTTCTTGACTGGTTATTTGCGCCAGATACTAATTTAGAAAGGTGTATTTCTAGAGCGATTTATCAGTGTGCAACTGATAATCGTAAGTTTTAAGAACGAGCTGTTTTATCCTGGAGGCGTCGTCGTAAATCGACTGCTTTGCATAATTTGGCAGTACGGCGAAACGTCTTAAAGAAAGCGACCTAGTACGCGACAAACAACAATTTTAAGACGTTTTAATAACTGCCATGGCAACTGAGGAAATTATCGGTTCTACTGCGGCCGCTTCGGTCTCTGACAAACCTTTCAGGTTTGAGGGTTCCAATTTCAAACGTTGGCAAGCTAAGATGAAGTTTTTCTTAACTCTGAAAAAGGTTGTCCACGTTCTGACTGAGGATATCTCGGTTGTCCCTTCTGCATCATCTGAACTACCTAATGGTAACTCACTTGCAGATTCAGACGGGACTTCCAAAATGTCTGACTCAGATGCTGCAAAAGCTAAGGCTGCAGCAGATGCTGCAAAAGCTAAGGCTGCAGCAGATGATTTGCAGCTCCGAAAAGAAATCGCCTTATGGCACGAGAATGATTATCTGTGCAAAAATCACATTCTGAACAGCCTTGCTGATGATCTGTACGACTACTACAGTAGCTACAGGACTGCTAAACAGGTTTGGGAGGCTCTGCAAAGAAAATACGATACTGAAGAAGCAAGTGCGAAGAAATTTGTTGTCAGCCGCTACTTGAACTACAAGATGGTGGATGAGAAGTCGGTGGAAGCTCAAAGCCACGGAATTCAGAAGATTGCTCATGAGATAATTACAGAAGGTATGCCCCTCAATGAACAATTTCAAATTGCTGTAATTATTGACAAACTGCCCCCTGGTTGGAAAGATTTAAAAAATGCGCTTCGTCACAAAACAAAAGAATTTTCAATCGAGAGTCTGATTACTCGCCTCCGAATTGAAGAGGAGGCTCGGAAACAAGACCAGAAAGAAGAAGTCTTAGTTGTGTCTAACAACAAAAAGAAATTCGGTGCGGTTCTGAAGCATACGGGCAAACCTTTAAAGAATCATAAACGTAATGCTATGAATCGATCTAAGAATGGGAATCCCTCTAGGGCCCCATCGGCTCCATTTGCTAAGCAACAACCACCACCTCAAAGAAATGATGCTCCGGTTTTCTCTTGCTACAACTGTGGAAACCGGGCCATATGGCAAAGAAATGTAGGAGCAGGCCTAAACCGGCAGCTGGCTCAAATTCTCAGGTCAACCTGACTGATGAGTAACTCATTGCCATGATCACTGAAATCAACATGGTTGGTGGAAGTGATGGTTGGTGGATAGACACTGGCGCCACTCGTCATGTCTGCTATGATCGTGCTATGTTCAAGATATGCATGAATGTTGAAGATAAGAAAGTGTTGTTGGGAGATGCTCACACCACTAATGTTGCTGGAATTGGAGATGTTGAGCTGAAGTTCACTTCAGGAAAGACTTTGATCTTGAAGGACGTCATGCATGTTCCTGAAATTAGGAAGAATCTTGTTTCTGGTTTTCTTTTGAATAAGGTTGGGTTTAATCAAACTTTAGGGGCAGATCTGTACACCATCACTAAGAATGGTATTTTTGTTGGAAAAGGGTACGCCACTGATGGCATATTTAAGTTGAATGTTGATTTGAATAAAATTTCTCCTTCTGTTTACTCTGTGTGTGACTTTAATATTTGGCATGGTAGACTTTGTCACGTTAATAAACAAATCCTTTCTAATGCAAGAAACATAGGCCTAATCCCTAAACTAAATGTTAATGATTCCAATAAATGTGAATTTTGCAGTCAAGCTAAAATAACAAAAACTTCACATAAGTCAATTATAAAAGAATCTGACCCCCTAGATCTTATACACTCTGATATATGTGAATTAGATGGAAGTTTAACTAGAAATAATAAACGTTATTTTATCACTTTTATTGACGATTGCTCTGATTATACTTATGTATATCTAATGAAGAATAAAAGTGAAGCGATTGACATGTTTAAGGTGTATGTAACTGAAATTGAGAATCAATTTAACAAGAAGATTAAGAGACTTCGCAGTGATAGGGGAACCGAATATGACTCTAGCTTGTTTAATGATTTTTATGCTGAACATGGTATTATACATGAAACGACTGCTCCATACTCTCTTGAAATGAATGGTAAAGCAGAAAGAAAGAATATGACTCTTACTGAACTTGTAGTTGCAATCATGCTGAATTCTGGTGCTGCACCTCACTGGTGGGGGGAAATTTTATTGACTGTTTGCTATGTCCTGAATAAAGTTCCCAAGTCAAAAAGTAAGATCTCACCTTATGAGATATTAAAGAAAAGACAACCAAAATTTTCTTATTTAAGAACTTGGGGCTGTCTGGTTTATGTCAGAATTCCGGATCCGAAACGAGTTAAACTCGCTAGTAGAACCTATGAATGCGTATTCATTGGGTATGCAGCAAACAGTAAGGCATACAGGTTTTATGACCTAAATGCCAGAGTAATTATAGAATCAAACGATGTTGAATTCTTTGAAGACAAATTTCCTTTCAAATCGAGAAATAGTGGGGGCACACAATCGAGTCACATTCCTGTGATAAAAAGCACTGAAAGCAGCGACAATCTAGAAACAGAACTTCGAAGAAGTAAAAGAGCAAGAGTTGCTAAAGACTATGGGCCCGATTATGCGGCCTATAATGTAGAAGAAGGTCCAATAAATCTTCAAGAAGCACTGTCATCTATGGATGCAGACTTATGACAAGAAGCCATTAATGATGAGATATATTCTCTAGAATCTAACAAGACCTGGCACTTAGTAGACTTACCCCCGGGTTGCAAACCAATTGGTTGTAAATGGGTTTTGAAAAAGAAACTAAAACCTGATGGAATGATTGAGAATTACAAGGCTCGCCTTGTAGCCAAGGGTTTTAGACAAAGAGAAAACATAGATTTCTTCGACACCTTTTCTCCGGTCACTAGAATTACATCCATTAGGGTACTCATTTCAATAACAGCCATTTATAACTTAATAGTACACCAAATGGATGTTAAAACAACTTTTTTAAACGGTGACTGTTGCACCCCAAATTTGTCCTACCTTTACATAGTTTCTAGTGCCACTTTATTTTGAATGAATAAAATGGCACAATTGGTAAGAGACCGTGTGTAAGGAGTTGTGAGTGTGAGAGGTTGAGAGTTCGAATCCCACCTTCTTCACTTTTTGTTTTTCTTTTATTTTTATTCTAACTTTTCTATTTTTATAAAAAAAAAAATAACAAAATAGTTTTTTTTTATTATTTAATTATTATTTTCGTATTTTATTTAAATTATTTTTTAAAAAAATATTATTTTTTCACTTTTTTCCATATTATTCATAAAAACATCCAAAAATCATAAAATTAAAAATATTAGAAAAGATTTTATTCTTTTAAGTTTGTTTTAGTTTGTGTTTTTAGCTTTGACTAATTATTTAAGTTGGGCTTTAAAATAGGCATTAGGTTAGAGTTAACCCTAATTTGGTTA